TGTCCGGAAGAACTGCTTTCAAATCAGTAAAAACGACCTTAAGTAAACACAGAAGTACGTGAAATCTAGGTTCCAGTATCTAAAACCAGCATCCGGATGTCAAAATGACCGAGTAGAAGCCTTCAGCTCAACCCTATCAGGCATCTTTGAGATGACTTGAAGCATGAGTCAAAGGAAAGAAGACCACCAACACGAGTGAGCAGTTCCATGCATTTTAGGGAATTTGGAGTCGAATATCCGTGGATACCCCTGAAGCTCCTGTGGAGTCGATTCCATGGATGATGAAGGCTCTAATCAAATCCAATAGTAAGCAAACCAAATTCAGAGCGCTGAATAGTTTTTTTCTTGTTGAATTCGCGCTATCTGCTCACCTTTCCACTGTATTTCTGTTGAATAAGGCAGCGTTCAGATTTCACGAGGGCAGCGCTTCGGTCGCGCGTTCGACGCGATCAATGCAGTTGAAAGCATGCATCGATCGCGTCGAACGCGCGACCGAAGCGCTGCCGTCGCGAAGTCTGAACGCTGCCCAAGAGACTCAGAACTGTTCAAAACGCCATCGCGGCTTGTTCCAATTTTTTTCCGCAACAGCAGCTCTAGTGCAACAGTAAGAAAGCGTTTTGAAAGCTCGCGCGCAATCTCCGAATGTGCTCGAACGTTTAAGATTCAAGCTTCGTATTCAATATCATCTGCTTTTTGGCTTTTGTTTCCAGCAAAAATTCAATACAGTCCTATGGCGTGCCGTGAGGGCCAGAAACGCGTGGTTTGCAACCTTACGGTTATTATTGTCCACATGACAGCGACTTACACCGCGAATTACCGCGCCTGTTGCCTGCAGCGTCGCTGCGATTTTATGGAACGTTTTATGTGATTTTGTTGATCGCGAGTAGCTTAGCCTTCATCGACTTTTAGTCGCTGGACTCGTACCACGAAGTCGTTCCGACTTTCTTGGGCAAGCTTCTGAGATCAACCAATCCACAGTAGTCAACTCCGGGATGAGAAGCGACTGGCTCTGCTCAGATTCGCTAGTGATGCAACTGGACAGGTGCAAAAGTGCTCCGGTGCAGATTTCTACCGTATTTTTAATTTTTACCAGAGGATGCACAGAGGTCACAGGGTGCCGATTTCCGAGCAAGTTGAATAAAATTGAACAGTGAGAGTGTGCAGCTGCTACGCTAAGGGGAGTGGGGGGATTCTGTTCAAGAAATTCTCAATATTTATCTTTTTTTCTTCACTGAAAAGTGAAAAGCTTAGCGACTAATAGGCTCATAACTGAACGATCCTTAATCGAGGAAATTGTCTTGAAACGTCAAAAAATGCTCAGAGTAATAGAGTGAAGAGGAAAACACCATTAAATCGCCTCAGTGACTTTGAATGAGAGAAAATATGAATAGGATTCACTGAGCTGGAATAACCTAGATTGGTTCATCGTTACAAATATTCAGAGTGCTCAAGAAAGGAGACTGAGTATTAGGGTGTGGTACAAATATTCAGTAACACCCTGACCCTGGCCCAGTCTCTTCTTGAGCAGGAAAGGTGGGTCAGGTACAGGGCCCGTCCCGCCGTAGGGAAAATTTTTGCAGAATACGACGCCAATTCGCCTTCAAAGGTTGCTCCTGTAGTACACCACCGCTTCCCATCCATCACTGAGCTTACTCCCATGTATGGCTCCCAAGAACCTCAGCATTGTAATGATTGTAAGATTTCTTGGTTGAACTAGAACGAAGTTGTCAATTCACCTGTGGTCGGACTGTGTTGCGATAAGTGCCCCCCCCCTTACGATTAGGTGATGATCTGTAATAGTCTGAACTTCAGTAGGGTAGTGGAGACGTTTGGTCGGGTAGTCATAATTGCTTCCGATCCTTTCAGGCTCTGAAGAAGGCGATCCCGCCGAAACGTAAGCCAATAAAGGTGAATTGACAACCTCGTGTGGAGTTCAGCCAACAAACAACCTGAGCCTACTATCCTATAATTTTTCCCAACTTCCTAGCACTTTGCTACTCCCTTAATTCTCCATGTCTTCACAAAAAATGTCGTTGAGGGGGAGGGAGGTGAAAGAAAGGGTGGGGGACCTAGTGCACTTGAAACACGGAAAAAAAGTCGGGGAGATTCAACATTTGTGAACATTCCTCAAAGCAGATACGACTTCACTCTCTCCAGCGACCAACTACGACCTTCCTCGCTAAGATTCTCAACGTACGGCGTGCCTTGGCAAGGTAGAAGCCACAGGGGAAATCAGCGCTAAGCATGGCGCAATTCGCGCTTTGCCTACAATTGTGTTTATTGCACAACAGCTTACATCGACCTTATCGAGCACACTGACAAAACAACTACAGAAGTAAGATGGTGAAAACAAGTAATGCGATTAAACGTGTACTTTGGCATAATGACGTCACCACAGGCTATAAACACTTTTTATTTTCATTTACAGTAAAACAGTTTGAGCACAGTCTTAGAGGGGCATTTTGCACTTGCGCATCTTCCCATCGTCGTGTTCATAGCTTTAGCAGAGTTGACAAAAATTTCTACAAACTTTGACTGGTATCATTTCGCAGATTCACAAGATGGCTCGACACGTCGAGGAGTAGTAAAAACGCATAATGCCCCTCTCAAGCCGAATTGCGTCACAATTTTATGAAGAATACGAGCATATTCTGCTAGTAACCACCAAGGCAATGTACAATATTACCTAGCTCTGTGCAGCAGAAGAACTTTTCTCAGTGGTATTGCTAAACTTTATGAGCCGACCTTAGCTTTGTGGTCACGAGACGGGTAAATTAGGAAATTTTCGACAATTTAGGAAATTACAGACAGTGACCAGTTACCAGTTAGTTGATAACATGATACCGTAAGACCAGAGGCGTAGAATTTATGAAATATTTGTTAGCTGATGAAAAGCCAATCAATGAGACCGGCCACTTGAACTCGAGTACATCCACTGCCTGCCGTCTGGCGCCGCCTCCATCGCAGCCGCGCCATCACAAACGTCCAACGCCAAACACCGTGCCTCCTTTCTAGCTAATTACAGCCGTTAAAGGATAAAAAAGGCTTTCGAGGAATAAATCTCTGTCACGTTAGCACGTCATTGTTCTTCCAAAAGATGTGATTTTTCGAAGGCGTTTTCGGAAGGCCTAATGGTCTAGATGGAATGGCTGGCAGGGAGATGGAGTCATTCATCTATGAATGTGTGGGAACGCTTTTGTTGAATTCCCAGCGAAAGATATCGGTGGGAAAGGTGATACATCTGGGAGTTCGGGATGAGAAGCTCGGATTTGATTAATTTCCTAATTTGGGATGCGCCACGTGATTGGTCTCATTCTGAAGCTCCTGAATAGTTTATTTTAGCTATAAAAGCAGGTCCAGCCACCATTGTATGAAAGAGTTGTTTTGAACCCTCAGAACTGTATAACGCCACTTGACTGTTCCCAAGAAATAAAAACACTGATACGTTATCCCGGCCTCAACCCACGATTCGTATGTGTGAGAACGGGAACAACTGGCTTCGAATAGGCCCTACTGAAAAAGAATATAAACCAAAGAATCAGGACGTCGGCGATGTTGATGGCAAGAAGCGCCGTGTAACCCCCCCCCTTAAACGGTACTGGACTTATCGTATCGTATTTGATCTGGAAAAATTTCTGCTGAATGCTGGTTTTCCCATTCGCTATGTAGCCCTTAGTCGTAATACCACACTTCTTTCCTTGCTAGAACTATTGATTGCTCTATCTAAAATGGCAAGTAAAATAGATAATGCTCTGAATAGACAATATGGTATACTGTCTAAAATGCTAGCAGGTGTGGTAAATAGTTGAGGGAAAATGGAGAGGCGAAGTGAAACGGTCAAAAAGCAACAGAGATGCCTTTGTTCTGCACCACTCAGAAAGATTTCGGACGAGTTTCCGCCCTTGATATTCAGCTACGAGTAGTCATCCACTACGGTAGGTACGATTGTGTATGTATCCGTATATCCATGCAGCATCGCAACCCTTCACCTCATGCTGCACTTCGCAAATGATGCGATACAAGCATCAGCACCGGTCGGACATTTGTGGGCTGGCGGACGCGGTGGCGCAAGGGCGATATGTGTTGCAGCTTGATAGAGCGCTATAAGGGTAATGGGAAAGGCGCCACGCAGCGCTTCCTCACGGGCGCCAAACTCAGTTCTGCTAGGCATATTTGTCGCTAGTGCAGGCGATATAGGGCGACTAGGAAGTGACATTCATAACCCCCAAAAACTATTTCGCTTTTCAACTTGGGCTCCCGCGCAAACAGGGTAAGCATCGTTGTCTGAAAACATAGGTGGTAGTACTTTTCGCTGGGGAGGGGCGGGGGTCGTACTTGATTCGTTGCTGATAGAGAGGGGAGGGAATCGTTGCTTCTTCAAAATTTGCCGCGTTGGGAAAAACTTTTTCGTGCTTGTTGGCTTTTTGCGTGAATTTTCCTGTTTCATGTTTACTATATATCTCCTCCCCTTCCCCCTCCCCGCTCAGTGGCGAAAGAATTCTTGGGTGACAAACTGCAAAATGTGGGAAAATGGTAAGCAGGTGTTGGGGAAGGGGGATGGTCGTACCTATACCACCATTTTGGGTGGGGGGGGGGGGGGGGGGTGGGGCTTGTACCCAGACCACCATTTCACACATCACGATGCTGTACCCTGCGCGCAAATTCGCCACACACTGAGCGCGACAGGAGTTGTCTTGCAATTTTATCTCGGGTCGCCGAGCGGTTGCTGAGCGCTTCCCGTGATTTCACTGCCACGCTTTCATGTGGTACATATAAAGGGCAGTGAGGAGAGTCTGTTTGTGGAAAAATTGGCAACATGTGTGCAGCATACGCGCCAGAACCTGACGCAGCTGTACGCCAAGTCAACTAGCTAGAAAATGTTAGCTAGTTTGTGTGCAAGACGGACCTTAAGGTTAGACTTTACACCACGTATTGAAAGAAAAGCAGAAAACATTCAGGAGCAAAAATATATTTACAGGGTGAAAACAACACGTCATTGATCAGACCCAATCGACGAACTTCTTGCAGTTGGTCAGGAAATTCGAACATCGCAACACGTTGAAGGTATCCTTTGGATGTGGGAACGGGTTGCAAACTTTACGAGCTTCTGGCAGGACATCTTCACACCTTCGCAGTGAAGTTTTGGGGTGCTCGACCGACGCTTTAGTTTGCTCGACCTGAAAGTAACATGGGAGTAGACCTGAAATTAAAATTGCAGTAGAATCCAGAATGCACCATTTATAGTAGAGTTCCAAGCATATGCAGTTCATATCACGGACATGCAGGGGCGTGTCCACGGACCTAGTTGTGAGCGGGTGATTGTGCATATTGCCGATCAAGGCAAAGAAGGATAAGTAGCGCGTCAACGTTTCCTTTGCCACTACGTTCTTTCATTAATTCGCTACCTAAGCCTCCGTCTGAATCGACAATTGTCCGTCGTCACCACCCCGACAAGTAAGTGCATAACGCTCCCTCCGAGCTCCTTGTTCGTTGCGGACGCTAGGGGAAGGCACGGCCGATGTCCACCAACTGTTGATGCTTGCCAGCTTCCATATTTGGAGGAGAATGTTTTGGCGCAGCGCTAAGCCCAGCCCATCTGGCGCCCCAGCATCCGCGCAGATGGAAACATACTTAGCTAACTCGCCCTTCTGATTCACAGCTCAATACCAACTATTGAAAAAGAGCGGCTAACCGTGCTGTTTGTAAGACCCCGCTTAAAGAAACGTTACATTACAAAGATAGTTTAGGCTTGCGTACCGTATCTGCATGTGTCAATTCGGGAAGGCAGATATTGCCCCTCAAAGCAAGCAGAACTGCAGAATTCGCTGGTTCATCTTACGGACCACTGTCCAGAATTTCGGATAGTGTTGTCAGTACCTGCAACAGTGCTTCGATAAGAGCCATTGGCCTTTTTAACTAATTAAATTTACAAAAAAAAATTGCTTACCGTTGGCAGTAGGTAAGTACTGGTATGACGCCGTTGGTTGATGCACACACTGACGGGTACGTTTCACAGAACGGAACCTAGAAGTTGTAGAGTGATCAGGAGAAGTTCCTTCCGAAAAAACTTCTCGACCTCACCATGCACAATCGTCTCTATGCAATGAAGCTCAGTCTGGGCGGGATCCTGCCTGCGCGTGGGCTCTTGCCTATCAGCGTCCAATTTCTTCACATCACTGAAACGAGCAATAAGCCGCAGTGATCGATAATAGAGGGCTGACCGCCGCCCGCAAGCCACTGAACGCCAAGACTGATTTTAGTGTAACGAGCTGTAACGATGGGGTACAGTTGACCTTCTCATGGACACCCCTATCGCTGCGGAGATGTGGGGCATTGCGGGCGGGGGCGGGGAAGGACTAGTTTGACGTTAGTCAGCCACTCTTCAAACAGTCTGTGCAGCCGAGCAATGGGACCACCAATTCGCGGGAAAGACTGGCTGGCGCTGCGCCTGTACTAGCCTTCCCCCGCCCCTGAGCCAACAGCGAACAAGATTTCAACCGGCAGCAATTTACAATTTTTCAGGGAAATTATAGTGTAGGCGTGGAGTGGAAGGGTTCATTGAATTGGGACGCGCATTTGTAGGCAGTTGCCGGCCTGACAGGTACAATTCTTGTTCTCTCGTGCCACCTGCACTCTTTCATGCATATAGTTTGTAACATGCGATTTTGTCGGGGGCGGAGGGCCAGGCATCGGCGACCGAGCTCGCGTCCGACCGCCTTGCTCTTTACCAATGGTGATCGAGCCATGATCGCATGTAGACTCAGGAGTCAGACACTTAGTGGCGAAAGGCGGTTGCGACCAACAGTTCGCGGTGATATAACCGGTTCTTTCATTGTCTGAACGCGACAAACGGAACAACTATCTACGTCCTTCGGCGCCCTTACACTCTACCCGTGCACCTCCCGCGCTCGTCCCAAGTCCTCGAATATACAAAATTCATGAACATCAAGATATACCTCTTCTTCAGCCACTTCTTCATGACAGTTCCTCACAAAGCGTTCTCGATGAACCACGCAGTATTCGCTGACGAAGACCAACACAGTTTTCTGAAGGACAACTAGAAACGATAGTAGCGCCAATTGAAAGGTGTAACTCCAATAGCACCAGGTAACCAATTTCGCGTTTCAGCTACGCATCTGAGGGGACCCCACCGATTGATGCACAGCAGCTGCGAATCCCACCCATTTCTCCGCCGTTCGGCTACCGCGGAAAATCCCTCCGCTAGTGTCGTACGAGAGCAGATTATTTCCGTTCTTATATTATCTCCGCATGTACCGTTGGATGTAGTCGCAGTCAGGAGGGGCAGTATCAGGAGGCGTGGAATGAGCCCACCAGCACCTGCATTTCCTACCAATAGTGGCTGCGTTTAGGTAGAAAGCAACCAATGTTAGGAAACGCTGCGGGCGGGCTCATTCCACGCCTCTTGACACCGCCACGACTGATTGCCACGATATCTACAGTATCTACTATTACACACCTCGACTTCTTTCGTGAAAAGTCACCCTTCGGAATTTTGCATAGATGGCAAAGACAAGCTGTTCAGGCATGGCTGGTTGATGGCTACATCATCAATCCGGCGCGTTGCGGCACCAGGGAGATGAGAGATTTTTGGGCAGACGCAAATTCAAGTATTTACCCTCCATCTTTCAATGCTCACCGGTGTGTTACTGTTTCCCACATTGATCGCCTGCGATACATCCGATGATGTCCTCGATCTTGGCAGCACTGGTTCCACCAACTAGAAACAATGAGAATCAAATCTATTCATCAGGTCGCTTATCTAATTGCCTAACATCATCTTGAGATTTCTTCGGCTTATAAGAAGCATTGAATCAGATACCAAGGACGTTCTTCTTCCGAGACGATTTCAGAGTCTTGTTCTTGCTGTCAGAATCCAATTCTTGGCATTCTAAGGGGGAGTTGTCGCGTATGTGGGAACGTAGTTGTTAGAAGATGAGTGCATAAAATTTTTAGCATCATCAAGACGCTGTTAATCATTCCCAGGAGCTAATATATGATCCGAGAAAATTCCGCTGAATTTACACACTTTTGTTGAAAAAAGTCTAGCCAAATTGCGAATGCACCAAACAGAACGCCATGTATCAAGTGCTATGGGAAAGGAAGAAAGATATGTAAGAGCAAATACTAAGTGCTGGATTGTTATTGCATCTCCCATCGTTGGTATTGATCACATTACCTGAAATAGTGTAACAGAACGGCGCGCACGCCTCACCAACGCTTATTTACTTCAATACTTCACCGTTCTGGTCTCCTCTATCGGTAAAAATCAGAATGACGAAACCGCCTTTCGATGTGAAAGGTAAAATGCGACGGTTACAAAAATTATCTATAACTAGAGAAAATCAATTCTCTTCCATGAAGTTATAAGCATTAAGATGTCGCACGCCGCCCTACATTCTCCAGAATCGACTGCAAGTCTCTGACTCCCAAACGCAAAGAGTAATCCACACCAAAAGGTAAGGGACGAAATAGAATGAGACAAATTTATCCACTCTATACAAATACGACAGTATAAGATCTGTCCGTGTGATGAATGATATGTATGTTTGTGTAGCGTCTGTCTGTTGTCACGAATTCATAGCGCTTCCAGTTAGCAGTGAAGACAAATGATATAATACAAGAAAGTGAAAAAGAATAGAAATGTTACGGACAAGGTTGTGACGGGAACGTACTTGGTACAGATGACAGGAAGTAAATATATCAATTGAAATAAGAGTCGAATAAGCGGGCAATATAGAAGAGAGAAGCACTAATAATCATAAAACGCAAAGTGGACAAGACAGTCAGGCATGCTTTCATATTTAAGAATAATGAAATATAGAAGGCATATAGTCAACGGACATCATTAGTGCGGATCACAAAAAACATGATACAGCTGATGATTACACTGATAATCGACATAAGAGTCGGAATATACGAAGGAAAGGTTACCATATTCACATCGAAGGTCACAACGCAGCAGTCAACTCTTTGATTCTCAGAAAATAAATAATTATCAGAGAAGAGGGCCAAAATCATTATTGTGGAGAAACAACAAGATTAGTGAGCATAGCTGATAAGATTGGTAAAAAAAGGCGTAATAGAAATAGTAGATCATAACCGTATTCATAGCGCAAGGTCAACAAGTATCAGCGGGCTAAAGCAAAATCAGCTTTAGCACCCGTGATAATAGAGACGTAGAGTTGGGAACATAAAACAGTGAAAAGTGAACTAGAAGCCAGGTAACATAACATAGATAGGGAGCTAAAAATGGAGATTTGCAGATCGTGGTTCTAATCGAGGCGAGATTCACGCTCTCAAAATCAAATAAGAAAAAAATTTAGTGATGAGCGAACCATTAAAAAAATGAAACGGGTGCAAGGTAATCTTATCAATCGATAAAAATGATACAAAGATACACATGACTAACCATCTCACCCTCTAAACAACTAGAAAACATGAATACTACACAATCCATCTCCACTCTTCTACTGTTCGCTTGTACTCGCCGTCGCCGGCGGGAATACAAAAAAAACAAAAGGTGGAAAAGGGGAAAAAGAAGAAGACACACATATAATAGAAGAAACAAATATATCCCCACGAGGTACAGAAATTGAAAAAAAAAAAAAAGAACAACCAAAATATATGACCTATAAAAGCAAAAAATCAATACAAACCCCACTTTTCTAGAAGAAAAACTCACAACCAATCAAAATAAATTATGTACTTACTAACCACGCCCAAAATAACGACCCCCCCTACACTCAGGACAAGAAGAAATAAACCTCATTGTGTTCACACAAAGAAGATGAATGTAACCACTATTCTGATGTGTGTATGGCCGATTATGGCGGACGCAAAGTAGAAAGCGTTTGCTATGGAACGCAGGATCCGCCAGAAGAAGAATTGCTCATATACTAAGTTGTCGATAATTGTACCCTTACATCAGCTGTAGAGCAACGCCAGTGAAATTGAACATTCCGTTCCCCCATTATGCGAGCTCGCGCACTGCGAGAAGCCAGCCAGTTCGCGCCAGCCGAGCCGAGAGAAGGAGCGAGAGCTCGGCGTCAGCGGCGCATCGATCGGTTATAACTCGTATGACACTACCATCTCCTCAATTGCTTGTTGCATAAGTGCTATAAGTGAGCTTTTCAATTTTCCAAAACTATATCTTGACACCTCCTTAATATCAACGGGGCTATCCCCACGAACCTATGGCACTTACGGCTCTGGAAAGACCCAGTGACGCGTGCCACGCGCCGCCGACCACTGCGTCCACCTTCCCGTCCCCAAATAAAGAATGCAAGACTTGAAAACTCCACGACCAGTAAACTACCACCGGGCATCAGATTCGATCATGGAGGAAGCGACGAGCAATTGGATTCCGCTCCGGTTTTTCGGTGTCTCCCGGTAAGATCAAAAGTCGCCATGCCCAAACACACGCTCAAAGATCGCGCTCGTTTCTCGGCAGGCACGCTAGCCAACACAGCTTCTTGCCTAGGCAGATCGAATCTAGTTAAAGTTCGACTTCCAATCGCTGCAAAACATCCATGATCGCCTCTATTCCTAATCGGCGGGGGGCATACGCATATTCGGCATCGCGTGCCAAGTTTTACCTGTGGCCAGTCTTTATTCAGGAAGCGCCATGCAATCTTATTCCAACTGATAAGCACACCTGCTCCCGAAAGCATCGATACCATTGGTCCCCTCGCAACTGCACATCAGCAGCAGTCCTGCGGTGAGGGAGAAACTTTTATTGAACACGCACGCGTTGCAACATTTCTTCCCTCAGGTTCAGATGCCCACATCTCCCACCAGCCAACCAGTCATCTGACATCTCTTGGTAGCAATCTAACAAATTCACAGCCGAGGACTAGAACACTCCAAGCCCGCCTATCCCACCTCACTACTTTGCCCACTGAGCGGCTACCTTCTACACTCCTCAAAGAGAATGATTCTAACGATGTTGCTAGGGAGGGACAAGTCGCAATAGGATGCATCACGCTCGCTCGCATCGAATTACGATACTCAGTGTAACGAACCGCAACGAACTAATCAATCAGTCTACACAGGTTCGAACGTCATAGCGTGATTCCGAGATAAGCGTAAGGATTCCCCTAGTTAACCATCCTGAGGCAGAGCACATCATCGAGAGGTGTGAAATGGCAGTTTTAGTACGCTCCTACCCCCTTCCCCACTCCCCGAAAAGAGAATTTCGATACGATCTCCTTTCCAAAACTGCGACCATAACTCACTTTACCAACCGGATTTTCCTTAAGGCTCACAACTTTAGAGGGTGTAAATCGCCAAATAACGCGCCTGAAACAATCAAAAACCAGCGCCAAATACGACCTCTCTCTATGGGATTCTCCCGACGATGATGTACAGTGCCCTGACATAGTTACCCAGACGTACACTCATGGTGGCTAGAGTAAATGGAGCCAGAAACCGGGCATACATGAAGGCTCTTTCTCTGTATCCCCAACAGCAGTAAGGTTTGCAACATCGCTTAATTCATGGATATGTGCGATCTCTCCATCAAAGCAAATCCAATACTGAATTCAAACATCGGGCAGTGATAACTCCGATATATTGGGAAGATCCTTTGTGCAGAACTGTGACACCACAACGGAAAGGATAAAGTCTCCCTAAATATGAAGGGGAAGGAGCTCCTGGGTAGGTGATCTATTTGAGTACAGTGATCCTAGTTCCGACTAGATGCAGGCGTGGTGCAGTGGCAAGCAAGTACCATGCGCGCGGATAGATCCCAGATTGGCCCCTGCCCGGGAGACGGGCAAGAGAATCGTAATTTGCCGCTCCGCCGCGCGCGGCGATGGGCGCGGCGTTTTCTTAACTCGTGTTAACCTGTCGATTGGAGCACCGGACTTCATGTAGACCCCGTCATCGTAGACATTCATGACTTTCGGTTCTGAATTGCCTGTTGTCGCCATCTACTACCTGGAACCATCGTCATTTGCGGTGCGACGTCGCACACGACGCCCACCAGCGCGGTGAATTACGATTCTCTTGATACATACCCCTCCTGCCCAAGCATTTCATCGTCTGGGCATGGCGAACTGATACCAGATTCGTCTGGAAGGTCAGGAACAGTAACTTGTGCATCGGCTAGCCCCTGCGAGTCATTGTATAGGTTATATCGCATTCATTAAGCCATTGCAATTTTGAATGGCAGCAGAATGCGTGGCGCACCCAAAAAGGGACCTTTAATCAACGGCAAGGACTTGATCCTGTTCAACCCTAGTTTTGCTAAAGACTTCTCCGCCGTCAACCTTATTTATTCATTGAACACGCCTGGAAAGGACATGACCGAAAAACGCTTGATCGTGCCTATCACGAAAAATGCGATGTGTGGCAAAAGTCGGACCACGCGGCGGATTCAAACCCGCTGCTGCCTTCTGCTTAATCGCGGGCAGTTTGCGTTCCCTATACGCTTCGAGGCCACGTTTTGACCACTCAACTCATGGCTATTTGTGCCATATTTGTGGTACTTGTTGGCCCACAACTCAGCATTCTGTGATAGTTTCGTATCGCGTATTGCGGCGTAAACCGCAGTTATCAAACATTAACGCTTAATAGTGCCCAAAAGATTTCACTTCGGCGTAGTTCGGCTTGGGAGGGGAGAGAGTATTCCAAGCTTTCGCATTTCCCATCGACGTTTTGAGCCATCAAGAAGAGATCTGTGAAATCTTGCAAAGTCATGAAGTGATACCAGACAAAGCTTGTAGAAACCACTTGCCAACTCTTGTAAAGGATACCTGTCAACTCTTGTAAAAAAAGCGAAATACCCCCTCCCCCTCTCAAGCCAAACTGCGCCTTCAGTTCTATATAATCATCGACGAATTCATAAAAATCAGTTCCTATGACGGAATAAGAAGCCATTCACTAGAAAGACTCTCAAATGCACGCAAACATACCTCAATAAGAATTGATCTGAATCGCTCCTGAATGGAGAGTACTTCAGGGGTAAGCAAATAAATCAGCAATAATGGAACCGTTGGATAAACCATTAGGAGAAGGCGATAAACCGCGTGGGTGTAATCAGCGACTTATGGGGAAATGGGTCGTGGTCGATAGGATGAAGAACGACAAACACCAGTGACGATCAAGCGACGTTCCACTAGATCTTCAAAAGTCTACGAAATCGAGGGGCGGCGCTACGGCACATTGACGGGGTTGACTTTATACCGAGAATCCGCTCTCTTTCCAAGAGTCGATACGGGTGGGTTACATCACTTGTGTGTCCATTTTCGTCTCGAGATGATAACCGAAACGAGAGAAATTCGTATGACGAGTTTTTCATCCAAAAATAGCCGCCCAAATGCTAGTGTATCTAACACCATCGGTTCCCGTGACTTTATTTTAAAATGAGAACACGAATACAATGAAACGAAGCTATACACCAATATGAAAACGTACAATTACATCGATATCACAAATCACTATATATTCGACTAACGCAAAGAAATATTCACATTGAAAAAAAGCAAAAAAAAAGCAATTGAAGGGGTTCAACATTGGCCGAATAACAAAACAGTACAATTCAGCCTATCAGCACTTCGTAAATACAAGCCTAGACAGAATCGTAAGATTCACTGGGCCCTAACGTAGTTGTGAGGGTGCGGTGGGAGGGGGGGGGGGGGTTCTTGGCTGCGCCTCCGTACAAAGGGCACGTCGTACATTGAGGATGCTCGGCGAGGGGGATCGTGTTCGGTTGCCCGAGAGGGATGCACCTCGAAGAAAAGGTTTCCGGCTGTTATTCTCTGTTTTGAGGGCGCTAAACCCCTCCCCACCCCCTTCGACAGCAGTTTCTCGGGAGAAAAAGTGGAGGAATTTCTGAGAGAAAATTCTGTAGGAATTTGGGAAAAGTTAGGCAGATGGTAGGCAGAATAGGGAAGGATGGGAAAAGGAGGAGTTGATTTGTACCTAGTGGAGAAGAATTTGAAATTTGAGTCGTACTTTGCAAAAATTTTCCCTGGCAGCACGACGTGCTGTGTCCGCATCACTTCCCCAAAAAGGCTTAGGCTCAGGGCGTGGGCAACCAGACGGATAGTTCGTCAAGGAAGACATAAACACACAAAGGGGAAGGCATACGGAGGCAGGGCGAGTGGTGCCCCCTAAGTACGTTAGCGCCGAAGATTATAGCATTGGGTATTTTGGGAATAGATTATCCGGCTAGAATAGTGAAAGTGCGTGGAAATATGCAGTATCCTAACCAGAAGTCGCTAGTAGAAGGCGCATGTGATTGCAGGGCAGCGTTCATACTTTGCGAATGCAAAGAGAATGCGTGACGTGGGAGAACCTCCAACTAAGGAAAACATAGATATCAATCTGCAGAATCCGCGGTTTCGAGGAATGTTGATGGGTTTCGCTTCCCTACGCCCAGTGGCACATCACGCGCTCGTGGGAGCGATAAAGGAGAACATAAGGACTGTCAAGTAACGCGTGACAACAGGAAGTACCGTATCTAGCGTACATGAAGATTCTACCGACACATAGCTCGCATTCTCCACTAGGTAGCGTTCAGACTTCGCGATGGAGTGCGCTTCGGTCGCGCGTTGGACGCGATCGATGCAGTCGAAAGCATGCGCATCGATCGCGCCGAAGGCGCGACCGTGCCGTCGCTAAGTCTGAACGCTGCCTTAGCGAGAAGGCCAGTGCAGGCAGCTTTGACATGACTCCTTTGTCAGTAACTGATAATGCTCAAATCTTTTGTAAAACTCGTCACACTTTCCTCGAAGCACTTTTTTTTATGTCAACCACCTCAAACCGCAGTTCTTTCAAATCACGAATCCTCAACACATCCCGGTCAACTATAAAGCGCAAATGGGGCGACCATTGCGCGACGAAATAATAGGCCTGCTAGTTGATCATATCCCGCTTGGAGATGTACGTCGTGGAAGGGATGGGTGCCTGCGAAGTTGTAAGTAAGAAGGAATGACTGAGGTGATCTCTAAAAAAGGCAAACTTAGGGTAGGAGAAGATGCGAGCAAAGGCTACATCAGGGTTTACTGTAACGTAGCTTTTATGTGCACTGACCTATTATCGTACTACATTGCAACCGCACGTTTCTAAAGGGTTTGCATGGGATTGTGGAGGGCAGGGTACAGACTATCGCGAAGCGGTGTTATTTCAGGAAGTACTCAGGCCGTTGTTCATGCTTCAACGACTCGTCAAATGCTGAGAAAGATGCGCGCGCATGAAGTCGACCGCGCGCCTTCGCCGGGTAATGCTTCTACAACCGTAATAGGCAGTCGGCAGCTATTTCCAAATCACCAGTGTTCGGTTCGCCAGGCTCCTTATGAACGGCCTTCCTGTCTCCTCTCAACCCAGACTTCCTAATATCCGTGCTTTAGTCAATACTTCAATACACCGGTCCTCATAGCAAGCCCCCTCATAGGCAAGTTTTCTAATACTTTTCATGTGAACCTCTCCATGAAGAAAAATACTATTACAGGAAGCTGCTACATTCTGAGCTAGATCATTATCGGATTAATAAACCTCTGCGAAACAAGATTAATCCGGAGGAAGGCCATACTACACGCTGTTACGGACATCATGTCTACTTGTCAGCAGCAAACAGGTCCACCGCGCCTTACAATGTCCGGCACTTCAATTCAGGCGCATTCGGCGACGCGGGAGGGGGGGAGGCGGGGAGTTGGCCGCTCTAGCGCATTCACTAGTCTGGTTACAAGTTCGCTCTGGCGAAAACTCTAAAACTACTTGCTGTGGAAGCTGGGCAGCAAAAAACTCGACGAGCCACAGCATTAAAACTTGTCAACTGCCTGGCAAGCCTCATGGCCACTTCGATGGGAATCAAAGGTGCACAAAGCCCCTTCCGTCGCCGAACTGCCCCTCAATTTTTTAAGCTTTGGTCAAGAAATTAAAGGACCAAATTCAACACATCTTCAGTAACTGTGAATTGCTAAGAAATATAAAACGTCGGAAGCCTTGTCTGCATAAGTTACACGTATTTCTTCATGGGAAAAACAATTCTGAAATACAAGTACATTTCTATGTATCTGGAGCGGAAGGGCTGAATCAGCAAATCACGACCCCCTGTCTCCAAATTTCCTGTCCCTGTTATCATGGTACGACTCCCCTTGACCACCTCCGCCACCACCTACCATCTTCCTGGACTTCTCTCTGATTTTCTGGAGTGTTTTCGACAATTCTTTCATTTTTTTCTAGGAAAACGGCCTGGCAAGCGGTGGGGGGGGGGGAGCAGTCGCTGCTAAGGCTAGTCATGTCCAGCATGGAGTAATGTCCTTATATCGCCCGGACCAAGCCTCAAAGTAAGGGACACCTTGTTTTGGGCAGCTCCTGCTCCAGCCAAGCCTTCCTGATAGAGGGCCCAACTGGGCGGAAAGCTGATCCTGGTTTTAGCGCGGCGCGAAGCTGGATCCTGGATGCACCACTACAATACCCAATATAGCAGAACTAAATGCTTATGCACTGATACTTGCGGATATACAGTCAACGGGGGGGGGCGGGGGGCGACGAGCCAGTCTCATGTCACGCGGATGTGATATCCACCTACAGGGAGTCAAACACCCTCGGGGACAACTTCTCGGTCCAACCTTCCCCGGGATAAGGGAACCAGGCTGTTCAGAAAAAGCAGAACCTTCAAGAGACCTGAGTTGACCTCAATCATATCCTACCGAATAAAAGAACACAGTCGATACCTATGGAGGGGGGGGGCAGTTCCCGTAGCAATCTTACCCAACCTTCACAAAGACCGCTGCTCCTGAGTGGCAACTTATGGACAAACTCACACATAATCATCCCGTTGTGTGACAAATCGGTGGGAAATCCTCAGGATCGTTGGCATCCGGCACTCTCGCTCCACCCTCTGCGTTAGTGGCTCGATCTTAACAATCGTTTGTTCAAAGCTTCACTGCTATTCGAAAGAGGAGCGCAGTTCGGCTTTGGAAAAATAAAGGGGGGGGGGGCATTCTCGCCTTTTCGCTACTTCCCATCGTCGTGTTCGTTTCTTAAAAGAGTTGACAAGTCTCTTCAGGCTTTGACTGGTATCACTTAATGACTTCACATTTTTTTTTCAAAATCTCTTCATGATGGCTCGACACGACGATGGAAAGTGGCGAAAGTGCAAAATGCCACCCCTGCACCCTGCCCAAACCGAACTGTGCCGACAGTATTGAGTGAGTATTCTTACTGGGATCTGTTCTGTTCGTTTCCGTCGCATTGACTCCTATGCGATGCATCTTCACAAGATCGCATTCGCCACCAGAACTCAATATACGATAACAGTACAGGAAACCATCCGTCGTTGCAACGAGAAGATGCGGTTGGCCTTTGATTCTGAAGTAATCGATTCTTTTTTCACTCACGACAAGGAACTTTACAAAATCAATAAAAATGAAAAAACGCATAACATAGTCACTCCAGTAACACCGTTTGTTATTTCGGGGGCGGCCCCAGATAACGCTGTCATTGGTGGGGTATGTGATAAGACGATTGTAATATGTCGTGCTGGTGGGCGTGGCAAGGTTCACCGCAACCGGTAGACGAGTTGTCCTGTCTGGCTTTTCAAAACAGAGCATTAAAGGGAGGGGAAACCGCGATGTACC